GAAAAACTCGGTCTTCCAAAGACTCCATCTAGCTGCTTGAAATTAAATGCTTCTGTAAATAAATTTGTATCATCCAGAATACAGACTCTTTCACGCTAGCAACAGAATCTAACCATTTAAGTATAACACCAAATGAAAATAAAATATTATCTAAGCAAGATCAACAGAAAAGAATTCTTTGAGTGCATCTCTACCATTCACATTGCAGATATTGCAGCTTAAAATTTAATTTGATTCTGTGAGAAATCTTAAACCGGTAAATAAGACATTCAAGTTGACTATGTCTACATTTGTGTATTTAAGAACCAAGGGTAAACATCGCTTCAGAAGACAGTCCAAACTCCAGAATTCATTCCCGAACTTTGACTAAGTCAGTCACAAGATGCACTATGCTATACTGGTCATCACCAAATAGGTTAAGGTTTAAGTTAGAAGCATAGTTATTTTATTTAAATAATGGAAGACAGTGCATAATATACACCAATAATGTTATGTCATTTAGGGAAAAAAAAAATCATAAATTAAAAAAAGTTTATTATATTTGCTTCTGTAACTTTTTCTGCTAAATGAGAAAAGCTAAGGGTGATATTATGAACATAGCCTTTATGTTGTTTGAAATATAAATTACAGTTCTAACCCCATATTACTTGGAGAAAAAAATCTCAGGTAACCAGAGGTTTGGCATGTTTATTTTGAGAAGAGTTATTTTGGCTTTTTATAACTGAAAGAAACCACAGTTCTCTGGTTTGCATAACAACGGTGTACCTGCTGGATGCTTTTTAGCTGCAGTTCTAGAAATAAAAAAATTCTGAAACACTAATTTTATCTCACAGCTCTTGAAGATTTATTGCAATCTGTTCTTAAGAGTGCTGATCCAGCTTTCAAATTCACAGAAACTGTCAGGTTGCCCAAATAAGAACACAACTGGATGCTAAAGAGATACAGTCATACAGAAAACTAGATATATGATACAGGCAGCAGGATTATGCATTGAGATTATTAACACACAAAAAGAATTTATTGGATTGGATGCCTGAAACACAAAGTGGGTCAATACTTCACTCAGACAGAAATGAGTGGGTGCTGATTCTGAATATTCTGTCCCAGCCAATTTTAGGCATACACCTCCTGTTCACATTTTAGAAAGATGGAAAAAAAAAACAACAGTGAAGCTTCATCACAGAAATAATTCATATTTAGAATTCATGTTACCTTCCAAGTTAATGTGAAAAAAAAAATCTTAAAAAAATAAGGTAGTGCTATGCTATGCATTACCACAAAAATCCCAGAAAGAGGCATTTCTAAAGGGCATTCCTCAAATCCAAAATTGTCTAACCACAGTATTCTCAGATGCCAATAATCTCTTACAGAAAGATGTCTAAGATTTCAAAAGCAAATGGAAAAAAATCCTTCCCACAACACACAAAATCTACACAGAACAGAATAAGGCAGCTCATGAAACCTGACAGAATTTAAGGGGTTAACTTCAGACCTTACTGTCAGCACTAACAACACCTGCATGCCCTGGGGCATTTAGGAGTTGACTTATAGGTTCACAGGAATTTTACCCGAAAAAACCTTAGACACCTGAAAGATGAAATGGGAGAGACAGTTTTGAAAAGCCATGACTTAGAGACCTACATTCAACAGGGGAAAATGAGGCTGAAGTATCAAAGTTGTTTGTAATCTGTTTTAAATCTCAAAATTGACAGTCTTAGATATACACACTAATTCCCACCCACCTTCCTTCCCACCTCTAACCCATAAACTAGAATTTAACTAGTAAAATGTTTGGAATCAAGTGAATCTGTGTGTTACCGTTCATAGCTAAGTGGATAGGACTTCCTACTATCTGGTAACAGGTACTGGTAGTCAGTAGAAGACCAATGCCTGCTGAGTCAGCTGAAGCTCATTAATTCTTTCTCCAGGAGGTTATTCCTCGCTTTTCTTTATAGAGATGGAAACAACTTTTTAAGCAAGGGAGAGCCTAAGGTCTTTCTGCATCTCATGTGTCAGCACTTCTCTTGAACTCTTTCACACAAATAAGAAGCATAATTCAAGTGCCACACCATACAAAACTTAAGAAAAGACATTCTTAAGTAGATACTGCTGGTTAGTGAAGTACAAAAAGCCCTAGCCACAGTAACAGAGGGCCACAAATACAGGACAGAACGGAGAAAACAGACACTACCAGGATAACTGCAAGCAACTGGAACATAATGACCAACTAGCAACGAGCAGCAACTACTGTTACTGACTGTAATGCAGGGAAATTGTACTTTATCTTCAATAAACCGCCACCTGTTCCATCTGTCAGTTAACTGCGCCTGTGCAATTGTCTTAAATCCATGGTGTAAAGTCCTCCTGAACACTGACCCTTCATTATGCAAGTATGAAATACAATCTATTTATGCATCACCATCTCTGTCTTCATCTCAGAAAGCCTGCAGGTTCACTATCCACATTCTTCTTTCCTGTGACTGCCTCCAATTATCCAGTATTATTTTTTGCACTCCTTAAAATGTTGACTTGAGGCATATATTGAGCAATTACAGTCACAACCTGCTCAGCAAATAACACTGCAGAAAATGGAATCCAAGTTTGCTGTGTTCTGACTTGGTATTAGAAAATTAGTACTCACTGAAAAAAAAGATAACTGTCATCCATGACAAGTGATGATTAATTAGCATTAAAACTAGAAGTGGTATAAGAAAATGCTAGCTGTTCCTGAATGAAAGACGAAGCACAGGTCTCTTTTCTCAATGTGTCAGAACTTTTAGACACATGAAAAACTGATGTGTTAGTGAATATATCTGACTGCGAACACATGGTATTCTTGAAACACCACAATGAATATATAATAAGAATACTAGTATAGAGTACAAGCTTCATCCTATGCATAGTCTTTGATCAATTCCCATCAATTTCAAATACATGCCTTCCTCTTACTAAGATCAAGCACAGGTTGTATATCTACAATAAACTGTTGAGATCAAAAAGTACATCACCAAAATGAAATATGTAAGTATATTTTGAACAGCTAATCAGGAAGTGGAGGAGATAACAATTACGATCCTCTTCCTCCCACTGTTATGGATTAAAATAACTGTAAACAGCTACAGGAATGCTACACCCCTATATCTTGAAACCACTCACTAGTATTCAGGTGTAAGTGGATTTCTCACAAAAAGAAAATCTTCCTGGTATACAGGAGTACACTAACAAGCTGTAGACAGTCTACAAGGTTATGCAAAGAGCCTTTCACAGATTCTTTCTATCAAAATTAAATTCCAGTGATTAGTGAAATATGTAGTGATACATGAAATGCTGTAACAAATACAACTTCTTCATCTTTCCCTCCACTATTGATAACTAAAGCATCCCACAAGAATCTAAACAGCAGATATGAATGAGCATCTTACACTACTGAGAAACTAGGTTAAAACACCAGGACTCAGAACAGTGATGTCAAGTATTTTGTTTGAATTTTAATGTGCAAACCAATGGGTTAAGGAAATTTTGAAGAAAATGACAGCTGTCAAGGGCCTAACCCCTCAATAACCCCAAAGCACTTAATTCCCATCGAGATATACAAGAGTCAGTTACGTATTGTCATGGTTTCACCCCAGCTGGCAGCCAAGCACCTAGCAATTCTGCTGATTGAACAGTCTTTTATTCAGAAACTGAACCACGCAAATATTTCATTTTTTATTAATTCCTTAACTAGAAAAATCATCTGCTGTTCCCTAGTACTCAGTTACTGTTCCATCAAATGGAGCTTTATTTATTGCAAAATAAAAATACCTAACACCTCTGACACTGAGCCAACATAGTCTGTTTCAACAGCCTCAGCGCATAAAAAATACAAAAACATTAATGAACAGTTTTCTAACAAAATTTGAACCTTTTTTATGGGCGTTGGCAAACGTTACCCAAAATATACACTGAAGACGAGGCATCCACCACACCAGAATAAAAGAGATTTCATATATAGTAAGCTTGATTGAGAACAAGCTAAATACTGAAAAAGGGAGATTTGTGCCTTGGGATAACACTGCCAGAGTATAATATATGTGCATTTAGATGTGAAAACTGCATGAGAAACAGGATGATAAAATGGTAATAATTGCGATTGCTCTAGTACCCTTTCAAATTCTAAGTATTCACAGCTTATGCACTGAAATAGTAAAATATGCACATCTGTGCATCTACAAATCCAAGCAAGTGCATAGTTGTAAGAAAACAGAAAATCTATAGCAAAAATACGGTTCCCAAGTGTATGACTGCAGATAAAAATTTCAGTAAACACCATCGACATGGACTTTTCGCAGGACAGAGTTCTTCCCGAGTGCCCCAGTGGGTTTCCCGGTGGGGAGGCATCCATCTCTCCGTCACTGCTAGCCGGTCAGGGAGGGGCAGCGCCTCGGGGCTCGCCTAGTCCCCGCTGCTCAGCGCTGCTGCCCTGGAGACAGGGGGTTTGGAAGTGCCTCCTCCCCCCGGCTGCGCGGGGCGGGTGCGGGATACGCCGCTCCCCGCGGCCGGACGGCGGGGCCTGGCCGCTGTCCCGCACCGCGGGGCTCCGCGGCCGCCGAGGCGAGGCCAGGCGGACAGCGCCGATGGGGCGTCCCTGGGGACTGGGGCCGCGGGCGGGAGGGCGAAGGGGCACCTGTTTCAGGATCCGCGCGGGATCGTGTGGAGCAGAGGGCGGCGCGTCCGTGGCGGGGCGAAGAAGCGGGGCACATCCGCGGGATAGCCGGGAAGGGAGGGCTGCGCGATACTCCGGCATTCGGAGGGGCGTGGAAGAGGGACACGAGGGCAAACGCGTGGTGCGGGGCGGCAGTGCACGGCAAGGGGTGCCGGCACTGCCGAAGCAGCGCCTCAAACTCATCCTCGCCCCTGCGTTCCCCTGGGCTGCGCGGGGAGCCGCGGCCACTGCGGGGACTCCCCCGCCCGCACCGCTGCCCGCCGGGGAGGAGCCGGCCGGCAAGAGCGCACCTCACCTCGAAGAGGGGACCGATCTTATTCTTCTCCAGGTAGGCTTGGATCCTGGTCTGCTGGTGAGACGCCATGAAGAGCTCCGGAGGCGGGGGCTCGAGCTCCTCTTCCCCGGCGGCGGCTGCAGTCCCTCCGGCTGCTGGCGGCTCGCTCCCCCGCCGCCCAAGGGCTGCCACAGCGGGAGCGGGCGGAGGCGCTGCGAAAGTCCCCGGGACGGAGCTAACTCAGGTAACCGGGGGCGGGGGGGAGCCGGCTGCCAGTCGCCCGCTTAGCTAGGCGCGGAGCTAGCTGCCCTCAAGGAGCGGCGGGCGGGCGCTGCCTGGAGCAGAGCATGGTGCAGGGAGGAGAAGCGCTGCAAAGGCGGCCCCCAAGCCCGCGCCGCTCCGCGCTGCGTGTGTCTGTCAGCCCGTCTCTGTCTGTGTGTCTTTGCAAGGCAGCGCCTTGGTTACGGGAGCGGCCGCGGCTGGCGCTGCTGCCCTCGCCACAGCGCCGCTCCCGGAGCCAGGAGCCGGGGGCTCCCGTCAGCTCCGCGGCCGCTGGCGCCCGTTGACGCCCGGGCTCGGCGCACAAAAGGCGGGAGCGAGGGAAGTGGGAGGAGAGCGGGCGGGAGGCGGGAGCTGCTCTGCCTCCTCGCCGCCGCCGCTCCCCTGCCCTCCCGGGGATGGGCTTACCTCCCGGCGGGGACGCGTTCCCCCGCTCCGCGGGCGCTGCCTGCGCGCCGGCGTTTTGCGGGGACCCCACCTGGCTCCGATCCGCGGTCGGGCGTGAGCGCCGCGGGCCGCCCGGCGTGAGCGACCTGAGCGGCACATGAAAACTTCAGCTGGTGGAGGGTCGCGGGGAAGTGAAACAGCTGACAACAGGGAATGGGGTTGCAGGGACTACAGCCAGCACTTTTCCTTAGTTTTTATTTAGATTATTTTTTAAATCTTAAGATGCTGCCGTTCTTGTGATGCCAATGAAATTCCCAGTTAGCGACAATGAGTATCTCAATGCAATAATTGGAGTAGCTATGCAGGTGTATCCTGGTCTCAGGTTGTGTTGAGTTCCTGCAGGCATCCAAGAGGTCTCGGCCAAAACCCAATGGAGCAAATGAGAAATTTTCAGCTGGCTTCAGGGAGTAGTGAGTTAATGAGTACATCAGAGAAGCAGTATTTATTCTTTCTCCGCTTAAAATAAGTAGTATCCCACCATTTCTAGAAGCAGGGTCCTAACCAGCTTTTTTTTTTCTTTCTCTCTCTATTTAGAGAAGAACAAACAAATCATGTTTCTTGGGATTTGACACTTCCGTTCGTCTTCAATAACTAATTTTGCTGTACCAGCATTCACCTGTTTTGTGAAAAAAGATACACCTTATTTTTTCATAAGGATTTTTTTAAAGACACAAAACAGCTTTGAAGAATATTGGGAACGTTCAACTCATCTGCTGAATCAGGCTGCCTGCTCCCAGTCAAGCGATGCTCTGCAAATGCAAGAGTACAAGCTTCTCCTGATTCAGAAACTGCTAAAGAAAAGGGTGAATTTCGTCAGAAGTTAAAAGATCATGAGTTCCACTGCCATTGCCATTGACTGTTGTTTGACTTCAAAGTCCTCCTTGCTGACCTAAACCTCATGCCTCTTCCTAGAAGGAGGTCAGATGTAAGTGTTTTATAAAGATAGTTTGCAGCACACCCTGTAGAGTAAGCAGTAGCTTGTAGAATTCTTTAATAGTTTTGCTAGAACTTGCTCATCCCAGTCTTGCTGAGGCAAAATGTTTGTTTCCATTGTCACTTAAAAATGGTGCTTTTTTTTTTTTTTTAAATTTGGATTCGTTATATGCTGGTAGTCTTCTAAAATTCCTATTAGCTCAGAGTTTTAGGATATCATCTTCAGCAAAGTACTTCTGCTTTGCCTCTTGCTACTTAATTAATATGGTGCTAAGCTAGTTTAATCAGCCTAATGAGGATCATACAATCATAAGTGTAATTGCCAGTGATGTAGATTCTCTGTAGTGGCTCCAATGATTCCCATCAGATGAGGATGTTTGTAAAATTTCACAAATCTCACCAGAATCTCAACTGCTCCGATAGATAAAAGTCTCCCACTTTGCAAAATTATGCTTTCCTCCTATGATCCAAACCTGAGAATATATATTTCTCTAGACCTACACAGCCTGACTTCTGAAAGCAGCATCACATGAAGACTTGCTAGGACCTGACCACACCGGGTCCTGCAAACTGTCACTGCTCTGTGTAGACCGGGAAGAGGACCCGAGAAAAGAAACCCCACTATCAGCAATATGAATAGAAAAGAGAAAGATAGCATAACTGTCTATGATTGCATATCGTACACTTAGCTAGATCCTAATCTCTCACTGTTAAAACCTCAGAGTCTGGGGTTTTATTGTGGGTGTGTATTTTTTTTTATTCTCACACTGAATCATAGAATGGTTGAGGTTGGAAGGGATTGGTCCCAGCCCCCTTTTACAGCAAGGTCACCTAGAGCTTGGTTGCCAAGCACTATTTCCAGATGGCTTTTGAGTATCTACCAAGGATGCTGGATTTTTCTGGTACCTGTAGTCGGTTTTGCTTACTGTTTCCGTAGCTCATCTTTTCCATCACTTAATTCTCATCCAGACATATAATCTAGACTTTCCAGCAGGCTTGGGAGACACACTGTCACTCCTAGTGTGGCTGGGAAAGCTTCCAAGGCCAAATGCTGAATTAGCTTTTTTAACAGACACATCTTGTAATCTCCAGAGTTCCTGTAACTCTTAACTGATAGGTTATACTTTGATATGGATTAGGCATCTTAGGGAGACATCAACACAGACAGTTCCTTACCTAGACCTTCATGCTACTGTTTCCTAGTTGAAGGTCTCCAGCAGCTCCCTGAGAGTAAAGCTCTCCGGGTGCTGAAGTATGGGAGTACAAGTGTCTCCTGCAGAGAACGTAGCTGAATGGCATGATGTAATAGGAAAAGGAACTTCACTGTTAGCATTTTTTTCTCTTTTTCTCAAGAAAGCACAACAACTGTTGCTAGATTTAAGACAAGCCACACTAAGATAGCACTCAATAAATGCCTGTGATTTGCAAATAAGCACAGAGAGCTGGGTATGTCCCTTCTGTCCTCTCAGTTGTTAGGAGAAAAACATTTTAAAAATTTAATTAAGGTATTCTGAGTTTTTAAAATTGGTATTAATACAATATTTTAAAATATACTTCCATCTTAATATCAACGCAAAAAATCTCTTGGGTTAAAATTACTGGTTTGGACATGACTGAATTTGTATTACTCACAGCAGTCTTTTTTTATGAGGAACTGAACACTAAATTACTTTACAACCTAAGTAATAAAATATAGTCTCTTTATTGTGCTTGGCTATGTACCTTGTTTCATTTCATAGATATTTTTCTTTAAAGAACAGTATACAGCATTCACATCTACATAACACTCAGCACTGAACTACAAGAACAGAAATGACTGCAAGAATTTGCACACATGAATCAAAAACTGAAAAGTGTCCCAACTTAAAAATATATTCACCACATAAAGTAAAAACCATGAGATTCCCAAAAAGCAAGGAGAAAGAGAAAAAAAAGAATAGAGCTAATTTTAAGATGCTTGTGACCATTCTCTTCTTATCCCATGTCTGTACCTGTGATATCTGACCTCTGTGCTTCTTACCATCATATGTTGGTGGGTTTCTCATCCTCCACTCTTCTCATCAAGAAAAGAGTATGCATGTTTTGGTAGGTTGTTTCTGGTGTGACTTAGTTCAAGGACTTCACAAAAGTAGGGAGCCATGAAATAATTCCATAGTATTCTATAATTTCAGTCCTATCATCCATTTTTCAGGAATCAGGTTGCTGCAGTTCCAATGCTGAGCACTGAATTTTTGAAGTTATAATCACTTGCAGTACACATTCGTCATTGCCGGAGTTACGTTACCCAAGCTTTACATGCAAAGAAGGTGTTCTTCAGGAGTCAGAGCTGCCACTGCCTAAAAGAAAAGGAAACTGATGACTTAGCTGTCTGTAAAGGTACTCCGTGGGTCATATATACCCAGTGCCAAGTCAACAATTCTTTCTATTCTGGTCAAAATTTGATCCATATGGTCTGTAGGAAGTTTATTTTTTTGAGATGGCATCTGGAATGCAATAGAGACATTAAGATCTAAGAGAAATATAGTGGCAATGTATGAATTTATTACAGACCTTTAAATGGTTTTCTAGCTCCTGTTAAGTGCTTTATGTTTCAGCTGTCAAAAATCATCAGAAATTCCTTAATGAACCTTTCAAAGACAATTCGAGAAAAAAGGAACAAATAGTAGGCACATTAAAAGAGGTAGTATTCATCAGAAACTAGTGATGTTATCTTTATAATGCTTTCAGTTTTGTCAATGTTTCCTTTCATGTCATAACTTTATAACAAAGAATTCTTCCATTACTGTGGTCATTTCTATTGAGTTTTATATTCTATGCAAAGTCATTATCTGCTTCACAAAGAGGTAGGAGTCATTAGTCAACAGCTGACTAAATGTAGTTCTTAAAGTATGCTTGTGCTTCAAAGAAAATGCAACTGAAGTTACCTTCAGGAGAATAAATTCCCTGAGTTCCTGCACTTTATAAATGAGGCATTATTTTTATTGGTAAAGCGTAGCCTTGGAACATTACAAACCCCTGTTGTAAAATTTTCTAAAACAGCATGCACGCACACACACACACACATACTGGCTAAATATTGCAGTGCTTCGAGCTGTTTAAAATAATGAAGGTCTAGCAGTTCCTGACCTAGAAAGCTGTCATCTAGCTTTTTATTTAGTATTCCTCTAAAAATGTACCTGCTCAGATGGCATGTTTTCAAAAGAAATTGAAGCATCTTAGTATATTATATTGAAACATCCAATTTATGTTTTATCCCCTATCAGGTTAACTGACAGAACTGAAAATATCACTGGAGGGCTGATGCTAATGATTTGGTATACCTAATTTTTTTGGTGGGTTTTTTAAATGCACTCTGTAAAGGATAATATGCCCACAAGCTTGAGTTTAAGGAGTCTCAAATATCCTTTCTATGGTTTTATATTTGCGCCAAGATAAGAGCCATACAACTTCAAAATCTGGACTAGACCCAGGCTTGTAAAGAGCAAGGATTCCTTTGCATCTTCATTCTCCTAGAGAATTCAACCTGTGTTTTGGATATTTTGTCTTTTATACGTTGTGATCTTAGC